TCATTAAACTCATTGTGTTTGTATTAAATATCTTAAAACTAGATAAAGATTGATAACTCTTAAATATTTGACTAGACATGGGGGTAATAAAAAAAATATAATTGTCTTTTAGTTAGCAAATAGTTGGAAACGATTCCTCTTTACATGAAACATTTCCCCTTCAGATTTACAGCGGGTAATGACATTGATAGGTTTTCTCATTGCCATCGGTATCAATGTTAACATTACCTTTAGCAAGAGGCTCTGCCGACTTGAGCAAAAGTTCACTGACGTCCACAATGGAGGACACGTTGTTGACTATTCCTTGAAGCCGCTTGAATGCTGCACTGTAGTAGGGCAGAGGTCGGAGGTCACATCCATCCTGTCCCAGCACTTCCTGTAGATGCAGTGTCTTCTGGACCAGGGCTTGAATACACGACAGGACGTGCTTCAGTCTCTCAGACATCTCATGGCAAGCCTGCACACAGAGAGTTTAAGGAAGGTTGCAGTTTGGTTGATGGTGGTTGGGGCTGTGGTGAGGTGGGTTGGGGGGCTGTGGTGAGGTGGCTTGGGAGCTGTGGTGAGGCAGGTTGGGGGCTGTGGTGAGGTGGGTGTTACAAACCTATTCTTACTTAATAGGTTCGTTGTCTAGGGGCGCTTAAATAACATATACTTTACCAACCATTATTGTCATTTTAAATATCTTTATTACATAAATAAGTTACAGCTTCAACTGCCATTTCTCACAACAACCCCAACACCACTAACTACTCTATGTCATATCCTTTTCCACACAATACGTCACAAGATACCAAGAATAATGGATTAAACAACACACATAATCTCAAACCAACACGCAATCACACTATACACTCAAGTCCCTAACAGTGGGTTGTGGTGAGGTGGGTTGTGGGGCTATGGTGAGGTGGGTTGTGGGGCAGTGGTGAGGTGGGTTGTGGGCTGTGGTGAGGTGGGTTGTGGGCTGTGGTGAGGTGGGTTGTGGGCTGTGGTGAGGTGGGTTGTGGGCTGTGGTGAGGTGGGTTGTGGGCTGTGGTGAGGTGGGTTGAGGATGTGGGTTGAGGACTCTGATGATCACTTACTTACCCTATGGTAGCATGTCAAGAAAAAGGAAAAAAATAAAAAAAATAAAATAAAAACGAAAAACTCACAGCATTCTTGTCAACAGTTTGTGCAAGTTCTAAACGTCTGCTGTCACAGTTCTCTAGGGATCCCAAACAGCCTTCCAGTATCTTGATTGTGAACTTGTTACTTCCACTGAGAAAACTTCTGGCCATCTCTGGGCTCAGCTATAGGAGTGAACATGGAAAAGATACAGATGTGAATTACAAGTGAAGTGTAACAAGTAATTGGTCTTTAAACATGTGAATGATAAGTGAAGCGTAAAAAGAAATTTACCAGCATTGCAATATAATATTTGTTTATTATAAAAATAATAAAGTTATTGTAATCATTGGTTTACATTGAATATTATTAGAAATATACATGACGATGATGACAGACTCGTGTAGGGGGAAAAGGGGGGAAAGGGGGGGGGGGGGGGGGTGAATATCATAAAGAAAAGGGGGGAAAGGGGGGGGGGGTGGTTCAATATCATAAAAATTTTGGATTTCAATTTACCAACTTACAATGTTCTGGTCATATTCCAGGTCAGGCTGTTCCATTACATAGACACTGGACTCAGTAGCCAGTGCCAACTGTCCACTTGTTTCACACAGTGACTGTAGCGCTGTGGTCAGTTTGTGTCCACTTTCAGATACTAGACTGGTCAGCTGGCTCTCACAGCCCTAAGGGGAAAAAAATATGAAGGACTAATTTAAAATCGGCCAGTACATGAAAAGTCTCAAAGCAATATAATAAGCCATACAAGGGCCACTGTGCGATCATGATCAATAACCTTGGACAAACCTGGAGAAGTGAGGTGGCCTGGAGTCCAACGATCTTGACTTGATCAGAACACATGTCCAGCATATCTTGCAGTAAAGGAGACTGGATGTCCTCATAGAAACTTGAGCCAAGGTTTGTGAGGTAGGTCAGCAGGTGGATATCAGCAACAATCTGCAGCATGGGTCTGGCCCAACTTGTCCCCACAGCTGCAAAAATAGTGAAACTAGTCCTTTAGCATCAACATCTGGCAACAACTTTCATTTCAACAACAAACTGTTGTCATATTCTAAATAAATCTCCCGATTCTGTGAAAAATCTCGATTCTGAATATAATACGAAAAAAATAAAAAGATCAGCATAAAAATACTTTTAAAAAGATGGGGGGAAAAAAATGAATTTCATTGTGTCACCCAAAAGTATTTACCCAAGTATAAATAGTATTGGACTTTTGATAAGGAAGGTAAATTAGGTATGAAGCACATTAATTCAATTGTTTTAAGAGATGGTAGGCAACCTACGGCAAGCCTGACAGACATTGCAGGCTGAACGATATATTCAACAGCTCAGAGAAGACCAAAAAACATAATGCAGCATGACTGTTAAAAATATTCGTATAAAATTGACATATCGGTTGTCACAGTGAATAACATAGAAATCCTACTTTGGCACAATATTACCAAAAGGTCGCTGACCCCTGGTTGAAAAGGAGCCTCCAGTTACCTGACTTTGTCCCTGCTACTGTGTGGATGTGGTCTCTGATCCTCTGGCACGTGGCTAAAACTTGATCTATCAGAGATTCCTTCAGTCCTGAAACTACACACAACAGAAACCATGGTAACAGGGATACACACACACACATGGGGCCGGAATATTAAAAGGACTGACTTTTACAAAACAATTGTCAACTTCTGTATTCTGTTTACACACATTGTTAACAGCTGTTGTCCAAAAACAAGCTACTTTTTACATGTATAAATATTGACATTCAATAGTTGATAACATTACAAGAACAAAAGGAGAATAAATATATCTAGTTGAAGGTAAATAGATAGAAAAGATCAGAATTACATTTAAACTACAGGTCATAATTTTACAGCAGATTCAATTTGACGGGGTCGTTCCTGGGCGCAAAAAAAAAATGTATAATTTTAAAATGTACTAGTTCTTTTCAGCACGCCACGAGTAGGTGCTATTTTATCATGGAAGTGAGTAGGCTAAACACCATTTCATCATGGAAGTTAGTAAGCTAAGTACTATTTCATCATGGGAGTTAGTAGGCGAGCTCATGGAATAGCACACAATGCAGACCTGTTTACTCTTACGATTTTGGCGTACAATGTACGATTTTGAGGTGTTAGCATGTATACTGTATGTTTATTTTTTTCTATAAATATAAGGTATTGAACGATTTTGTGATAATATTGTACGATTTTAAGAGTTTGAGAGTAAACAGGTCTGACAATGTCCAGCATCTCCAGCGCCTTTGACCCTGTGATCATAAGTTAGCGTCCAGACTTCATTGTGATGCCCGGCCCGGCCATGTTTGTGCTATCACAATTTCAATGGGACTTCTAACAATGGCTTCAAAGCATGCTTCAACTGATCGTGGTGCTGGTGTGATGGTGTTGCTGGTGGTGCTGGTACGATAGTGGTGCTGGTGTGATGGTGTTGCTGGTATGATAGTGGTGCTGGTGTGATGGTGTTGCTGGTATGATAGTGGTGATGGTGTTGCTGGTATGATAGTGGTGCTGGTGTGATGGTGTTGCTGGTATGATAGTGGTGCTGGTGTGATGGTGTTGCTGGTATGATAGTGGTGCTGGTGTGATATTGGTGCCAGTGTGAAAGTGGTACCAGTGTGATGGTGGTGCTGGTTTGATAGTGGTGCTTCTGGATCAAGGAAGGGGAAAAGCGTCACGTTAGAGTGTAAATTAAAAATTATTAGACAAAGGGAAAGAGGAGAGAGAGAGAGAGAGAGAGAGAGAGAGAGAGAGAGAGAGAGCAGCGGACATCGTGCATGCACTTGGATTTAGTCATGTTTTTATGTTTTAATATTCTAAATGTGTTGAATAATTAATTAATATCTTTCAACACCACCTTAAATTTGATGTATGTAATATGCATATAAATGTATTTTAGTACAAACATTTATACAAATGTACATAAATATAAGTCGTTTATGTGTCCGTAGGGTGCATAGAAAAATACAGTGGATTTCACTTAAGGTCACAGTTGAAAAAAAAGGAACTCTGTCGTAAGATGAGGACCTCAAAAATAAATCACTTTTCCTTTATAAACAGAGCTGATCAAGATCACAACCAGTTGCAGAGCACTCAAATCATGTGTACGCCAAGCTGATGGTGTGCTGACCAAGGAAGAACTAACCTGTGTGCTGGTCTCCCATCGAGGACAGCAAACTCTTGCAGGCCTTGACCATGGATGAGTCCAGCTCTTGCGATGACTTGGGGCTGTATGTGCTGAGGGAGCCGGCTGGAAGAAAAAGCTTAGCAGTTAAAAAAACAGCCTTAGCAAAAATGAGCACTTCAGCAAACAATAGTTCACTGGTCGGTGTTTTAAATAAAAATAGCCTCATGCCTGTCAATAGATGTATGATAAAATAACTGGTGTGTTTAGGTAAGAATTCTTTGTTTAGAAAATGACTTTAAGCTCTGTTGGATAAAGGCTGTCTATTCTTAAAACCGTCATAAAAAAAAGACTGTGACAATGTAATGCATTATTTAAATTTATTTTGAAAAATACTAGACTATTTGTATAAAAAGAATTGCTGATAATTATTTTTGATAAATTTGTTCAAGGTACTTCTTTTTCTTCCTCAAAAATAAATATTCAGTGAGGACTTTGTTTCTATGGATAAGAGTGCCAACCTCTTCTAAGCCCCGTTAATGGGGTTCTTGGTAGAACTGTCGTAAACTTGCTGACATTCTTGGATCTGGAATAGAAAATTTTTTTGTCAAGCTATTGAACAAAAAATTAGAACAGTTAAAAAAAAAAATTATTCAACTTACCAAGAGAACTCAAGATTTATTCTAGTCTAGTGTTGTTTACCTGTTGTCATGGTGACCAGGGGAAGCTAGTGATGACTCCTTCTCCCACACATCTTCGGGGTCATGAAAAACTTCATCATCAGCTGATGTCCCGTCTTCATTCTGTCAGGCAGACATCAAACAAATTGAGTGTACATTTTAAACAATAAATTACAGCTCTAAAACAAAGGTCATATTTATTTAAGTACAGCTGACTCTAACTCTAACTGGCATATATTTTAATATTTCAAAGTCTCATGCAATTCTTAGCAATGGAGATTTCTACGAGTCCAATTTTCTCTGGGCAAAAATAAATACCTCATATCAATCTCTCATCTATGCCAATATAAATACCTCATATAAATCTCTCATCTGGGTCAATATAATACCTCATATAAATCTATCATCTGGGTCAATATTAATACCTCGTATAAATCTCTCGTATAAATCTCTGATCCACCTCGTATAAATCTCTGATCCACGCCAATATAAATACCTCATACAAATCTCTCATTTGGGTCAATATAAATACCTCATATAAATCTCTCATCTGGGCCAATTTCCCTTCAAACTTTGCCACAGGCCACAAAGTGAACATCCTGTGTCTTGTGTTGGTCACTCTGATCTGTGTGTGGACTGAGCCACTTCCATCCTCAGACTGGACATCGTCTCTAGCAAACACCTGTGACATGACCAACCAACAATGAGACAATCAAAACAGCTATAAGACTATCAAACAACTATGAGACCATGAAACAAACCACCACAAAAAAAGACCATAGCTCGACTAAGGTGTTGTTTCGCTGCCCACCCTCTGACACATTAGGTTTAGTTGAGAAAGCTACAGCATTTTTTTTTTCACCCCACTGAACAAGGGAAGGTACAAAAAGAATGAAAAATGACTAAAATTCTATTTCAAGACATTAAAAAAACAATAGGCAATTTTAAACAATTAAATAATAGGCAGTTTAAACTGTATGGTTTTCTGCCGTGACTAAATATCTTTAAAGAAAAACCATTTAAAACATCTGTTCAGAGCATGTGATAGGAAAATGTACTTTCCTCTAAAGCAATTTAAAAAAATATTTTTTAAGAACAGGGAGAATTCCCGGATCTGAATATTTTAAGACTATGCGTCATTGAAGAAACCGGACACATTCGATTAGTTACAGGGGCCATGCAAGGCTCAACCCTTGGGAATTTGATCAAATCAAGCTTAACAAACAATTTACTGTGTAGCACACTATGAGTCCATACTGGTAACATCAAGAATATTTTAATGAAAGCGTTCTTTCTCTTCTTTTTTTTTTTAACAGCATAAAAGGGAAGAGATGCAGTATAAAAGAATTGTATTATATTTAATTAATTTTAGCAACACACTACATAGATTGTCCCACAATGACACTTAGTGCTACAATAAGACACCGAGTCCTAAATTAACACTTAAGCGTTACATTACGGTTTCAGACTCACAAGATTTGTTTTAAGCTGCTGATTAATCTTGTTGGCTTCCCTGAGTAACAGTGCCACCTTGTAAAGGTCTTTGCGTGACCCAGGGCTTCCCAGGGCAGAGGTTTGCATGATTGCCAGGTTGGCTGGCATGAGTCCAAGGATTTTGGCCATGATCTGCTTCCTGTGTTTCAGTTTGTCCTCGGCTTGTTTAACTTTGGCTTCAATCATCTCTTCAAGCTGACCCTTTGTCCTGGCCTGTTCTAGAGACTGAGGAATAAGTGGGCTTGTCATTGGAATGTGAGTTTGTCATTTGAAAATGTGGGTTTGCCATTGCAATGTGGTTTGTCATAGGAATGTGGGGGTTGTCATCGGAATGTTTGCTTATCAGAGGAGTGTGAGCTATTTATTGGAATTCGAGGTTGTCTGTGGAATATTTAGACACCAACAGGCTAAGAATATATAACATGCTTAAAATCTGTCAAAATTGAATATTTTTAATTTGAGTGCTGATGTGAAAGTGGCAGACCAATGTTTGTTAAAAAAACTTTAATAAGCTTCTCTTAAAGTTTTGTATGTGTGTGCATAATATGACAAAGTAAAATGTTTACCTTCTGAGCAAGAGTCAATTCCAGTTTCCCTCTGTTTCTACCAGCAATAACCTCTTGTTCAAGAATCTGTTGTATTGGATATTTGGATATGCAAGATTTTAGGTCAGATATTACCTTACTAAATTGTAACTTAGAAAGTAATAGGCTAATTATAATAATTAATAATAATAATTAACAGTAATAGTGAAATAATTATAAAAATAATAATATTTTCACTTCTTCCCACCTTAAAAAGAAACAATACCACACAAAAACCTAACAGTCTGAAAATGAGTATAGCATGAAATAAAAGCTCATCTGGGGGGACACAACTCACCTGATTTTGTTTCTTCAAATTGTTGATGGTGCTTTGAGCCTCTTTGTGAGTTTGCTCAACCTCACTCTGGAATTCAAAAAGTCTGATTTAAGCACATGTGGAATCAATGTATTTGTTAAAGACATTTAATATATTAGTTTATGGAATAGATTTAACTATTTCATTTTCTGCCATACTAAATACTATAACAAAAAGCTATTTTATCAGGTTTACAATGGTCATGCCTTAACTTTTATATTTTTTTAAAACTATTCTGACTCTCTGACATTAAGAAAGAATTTTTGAATGTTAAAAGAATGAAAAAAAAAACCCAACTATCTCAGTTATTCACAAAGTCACATGAGCCAGTCACATGACCTACCAGAGCAGACTCCAAGCCCTTGAGCTTGTTCTCATAGCCATCTTTCTGTTGAGAGATCTCCTTGCGTGTCTTCTCCAGTTCAACTTCTAGAAGTGCTTGCAGCCTTGAACAGAATTTATCGGAAACATAAATTAAATTGGGAAGGGGGCCCAGTCCTGGGGAAAAAAAGTTTTGGATCTCGCCCAACAAGTCTCACAAACATTCGTAGAATGACTAGTAAGATGCCCCCCAGTGGCTTAAAATTGTAACTGAACCCTATAAATGTCATAACGGCTGATGATGGGCCATAAAACCCCCTTCTGTGGTGTCACGGCCAATATAATTGGCCGCTAGCAAAACCTTCATTAAAAAATGCAAATGATTTAAAGTGTATTGGTCAAGGGGAAATCACTCTGTATAAATGGAGTTTGCTTCTTATTTCTGTTACTATCTGTGTGTGTTTTTGTTAATCAGGTGTGAAATTTACTAAAAAAATTTTATCACTATGTCTGATGCTGGAGAGGGTCCCCCTCTAGTTTGTAAAAATAACACAGAATTTCTTTAACAGAATTATTTCAGATGGCTTAAAATGAAAGCAATAATTTCAGAGCTATTCCACAAGCTAGTAATGACAGTATTAGCTGTAGCAACATGAGTCAGATAAGCTTAGCCACATGAGTCAGATAAGCCTAGTGGCATTGTTACTAACAAATATGTTTGAGAAAGGGTGAAAATCGAAAGGAAAAGACAAAGATTGGATCCCAAAGAACTACCCTAAAGACAAGTGTATGTATTATCTGGAGAATTAAATAATAAAAACATGGATTTAATAGCTTCAATTGAAATGGAATTTTTGACCTCATTTCATGCCTTCCCCCTTGTATTTTGAATGACAGAAATTAGAAGGTAGTGAATGAATTTTTTTTCTCTCCAATATTACAATTTTTAATATAAGTATCTTGAAATTTTTTGAAAGAATTCTGCTACTATTATCTAAAAAACGTAATTTTATAATATTTTAAACAATTTATGGAGTATTAGGTTTGGTTTAATTCAGAAGTTGAGTAGTAAAATTTTTTTTCACCCTGTAAAGGTAAAGATCAAAATCAACATACGTAACAAAAAATCTTTTCAAAGCATAAAATACCTTGCCCAATATGCTTTCAGAAAATGTATATTTGTAAGGGTCTCTGAATACATTTAGTATGAGATTTTGTCACTTTTGATAAACACATGAAAATGCCAAAAAATGGCTTGACACTACAGAAAAATGACTTTGACAATAATTATAGGGTGAAGAAAAGAAAAAGGGTGTTACAAAATTTGTTTAGTTTTATTAAAGAATACTTTCAATGTCTACCAAGTCTGTTTAATAAGTACTAATAAATTAAGATAAAAAGGGAAATAAAGAATAAAACTGACCTGGCCTCCTGGACACGGTGGAGCTCTTGTTTGGCAAACTCAAAATCTTTGATGTCTGATGAGCGGGCATCGGGGCTCTTATTTGATTTCACCTGCATGGGATGGTTGAACCTGGTTTTGAAAAACAAATACATGTCAGATTAGAGTTGAGTTATTTTTTTCCCCAGTCTCTTCAAATTTACCAGCTTGCATCCTCAGAGAATACCAAATGTAAATTATCACTAATTAAGTTAATATCATCCCTAAGGGAGATCAATGATGTCTGATTTCTATGCTAGAGAAAAATGTCAGATGTCTTGTGTTTAAATTGTTAATTGTAAAATGTCTTGTTTAAAATATGCATTTATTCATGTGTTTAAATTGAATATGTACTATGTAAAAAAAACAAAAAAAAACAAAAACCTTTCAATTTATTTGGATCAATAAAAGAATGTTATCAAAGTTTAATGATTTTTAGACTTGACTCCTATATTTGGTACTCAACCAATATAGTTGATATGACTGCCCTCATCGTGGACAAAAACCAGCTCTTAACACTGCTATTAGAAAAGTAGTTTTACCTGAAGTAGTGGTCACCACCGAGAATAACTCTGTCCCCCTGCAATTAAGAATAAAAACTATATTTGATACGGCAGCATGAAATAATTACCCCACTTGTTGATTTGCCTCAGTTTAGTATAGAATTTCTAGTAAATAAAAAACTTTTGATTTCACATAATATATACCATTACTAAATTGTAATTAAAAAAATGTGGAGTCAACAATGGAATGTTATATAAGAAATTATATTTTAAATTAAATAAAAAATGAGTTTTTTTTTTAAAAATTTAACCTTTAAAACAAACATGTGCAGCTTTTGAATTATGTAAACAAGGTAGCTTTTTGATTGAAGTCCCACATTCTTCTCTACTTAAGCAAGAATAAGCAAATTTTATTGTGACAGCAGTTGATAATAAATAAATATACACTGGCCATAGACAAAATTTACGACAAACATTGACGTGAGAGATTTATTTACTACAAGACCGTTGTGACAGATTTGCTATGACAGATTTACTCACGTGTTGCAAAACTACCGCCTGCGAGACAAGATCACCGTTTACATAGGTCGGGGCATCCCCTATGGGCGTGATCTCTACGACTCCCTTGCTGTTGGTGATTGTGCTGGAAGGGAGAGGTCATCTTTTTATAGTATTTTTTATTTGTTTCAACTTAAATTTTTTTTTTATCAATATCCCACAAACATTGTTTCTCTTATTGACAGGACTGTGTCTCACCATCTTTCAATGAAAGGATTGCATAAACACAACACAGACTAATAAAATAATACTCTGATTTCTGATTTTAAAATAAAGACATCTTTTCATATCACCTCCGCCCCACTCATATAAACTTGTACACAAAAAGCTCACACAAATCAATATTTTATTTAAAGTTTTTTTTAAAGAGAAAACATTTAGTCTGAAACTAACAAACTTAATTATTTTTGTTTGTTTCATTTTAATTGTTCCTGGCTGAAAAGAAAAATAAATAATTTTTAATCAATTAGAGAAACAATATTATAATTTTTATTAAAATATCAAAATGAAAGTGGTAAAAGCCAAAGTAAGACCAGTGCACGACTCTGATATGAGTCGTCGGTAGAGTTAACCAAGCCCTTACCAATGGTTATCTGCAATGAGTGCACCTGTAAGTTTTATGTCATGGCGTGAGTCATCTATGCAACGTCCAACTCTTGTCTCCCCTTCTTTGATGACATAAAGTAACATCTCCGAAAGCTGCGGGTCTTCATTTAAGTTGACAAGGTTGGGTAGCGTGTTGTCAACTTTGAATGTGATACCAGCTCGCTGTGAAGAGTTAGTCAATAGTAAGAGATAAAAACAGAACAATAAAAAAAAACACAACAACAACTGAGTTGCCTGTGAAGCTCATATATACAGATATCCAGAGCTTGTTGACTAGTCCAAGTTGGATACTGTTCAAAATTTTGATTTCCTGATACAATGGATTGGTTACAAGTAGAAAGTACAAATTATTCAAATTTAGTTTGGGCAATTCTTTTATTGTGTGATAACTAAATGACGCTTTGTACATTTTAATTTGTTAATTCTGGCTGCTCTGTATTGCATTTGTCAAAACAAAATAAAAACGGGGTATGAATTATCAGAAGTTGTTCCCAGCCATGAGAAAACATTCATTTAGTATGGACAATGGCCAGCAAGAAAATTGTTCAGTTCTTAATAAGACATCAACTTTGCGCAGGATTTTAAAAATGTCTAAGCTGAGCAAAAATGTATGTTAAAATATGGATAGATACAGGTGTTTGAACGAAAAAAACCAAAAAAACTTAAAGTAATATCCTTATTTGTTTGTCAGTTAATTAAGTTATGTTGTGTGCAAACACTGGCTGTTACTTTGTTGTGTCTCCACCACACATCCAGGCCACACCACACCCTCACAAAAAGTTTATCCAGACATTTCTAAGAGCACCCACCTCCATGAGCTTAAGCTCCTCAGCTTTCTTGGCCTCCGCTTGTCTCAGCCGTTCCTGCAGTGACCTGCTGAGCTCTTCCATCTCGTACTTTAGTCTGGCAATCTCTGCCATACTGGCTGCCAGAGCCTCCTCATTCATAGCTCCTCCTTGCTCTGTTCGCAACCGTTCTATCTCTGTGCGGAGTTCTGAGTACCAGCAAATCAAAACAATTGGGATATAAAATATATATATTTATCAAGAGATCTCCATTAGCAGATACTATAGAAAAAAAAAGATATCAAGACAGCTCCATTAGCAGATGTTATAAAAGATATATATTCATTAAGACAGCTCCATTCAGAGATACTATAAAGAGGAAACTTCAAACAAGGATGGGGGAAAACCCAAATTTCACACTTTCTGTTACTCTAAATACTATATATATTTTATACTGTACTACTCTAATATATTATACAATGGTAATACAATAAATTACACTATATTATTTCAATACTTTATACCAAACAACTATATATATATATATATATATATATATATATATGACAGGATAATTACGTCTGATAAGCTTGGCCTTGGGGTCCTCATTTATGCGCACCACATTGACGATGGACCTAGCCTGCTGGGCGTATCTCAGTGTGCTCAGTGTCTCTTCAATGTGTTGGTTGGAAGGGGAGATGGTCGCGATCATGGCTGTCTTAGAGTTGCCTCCCAGCGACTCCTTCAGTAGCCTGGAGAATAAACAACAACTGTAATGTCTTTGTTGAGATCCTGGTGGCCATGTTTGAGTTGTGTACAATGGAGACAGGAACACCCTTTCATGACCCACTCTGTTTCATAATCATTCAGATTGAACATGGAAAATGTAGGGCTGCTGTGTCTAATCAGTGCACCTTTGTCCCACATCATACCCTTCCACATCAAGTACAGAAAGGTTTCCCGACCCGGGGTGCCCGCAGCCCCAGGGAGAGCGGTGTGGCATCTCAAGGGATGCCAGAAAAGGTGATTATAAAAACAGAGAAGCCATTGACTACTATGTTATGATTTAAACTTTTACATATTTTTTTTAAAATGTGGTCTCTAAATTTATCTTATATGTCACAGGTAAATTTTTTAAGTGCTACAATTCTTTCTTTGTAATGTATTATGGAATTAGTAAATTTCAATTTTTCAAAATAAAAAAAAAAAGCAATTGTTACGCCTGTGGGGGCAGGGCAAAAATAAGAGAGGGACAAAACTGACCATGTTAGGACCGACTCCCTGTAGGGGATGAAGATTTTGCTCTTCTTGCTGGACTGTGACCGGTCACACAGCAGTGAGATGACCTTTCCCAAGGTCAGCAGGGACTTGTTGATGCTGGCACCTTCCTGAAATATATGTTTGGAAAAACTAATTATAGTATACATTTTTTTTAAAAAACAATAATGCAAGCCAGGGTCTTTTAGTAAATTCACAAAATATTTTAGACATGTACCAGTGTTATTCGGTTACCGGAAATTTGATTGACAGCAATTTCTTCGATGGTAAATTGATAGACAGAAATTTGATGAAACGGAAATTTGGTCAAATCTTTTTTTCAGTTCACACGTCAAAATTCTTTTTGAACACACTTTACTATATAGCAAAACAAAATAATGGGTTCAAAAAGAAATTTGAAGCAAAATTTCAACATAAAAACTGAAAAAAAAAGATTCTGAAGAGATACAATACAGTGCAACTGTACAGATAGAAAACTTGCCAGTCATGCATTTTAGATGAGCATTGAGTCCCAGTTCTTTGTTTTAGATGAGCATTGAGACCCAGTCATGTGTTTTAATTGAGCATTGAGACCCAGTCATGTGTTTTAGATGTGCATTTAGTCCCACTCATGTGTTTTAGATGTGCATTTAGTCCCACTCCTGTGTTTTAGTTGAGCATTTAGTCCCACTCCTGTGTTTTAGTTGAGCATTTAGTCCCACTCCTGTGTTTTAGTTGAGCATTTAGTCCCACTCATGTGTTTTAGTTGAGCATTTAGTCCCAGTCAAAGCAACTGTTTTTCCTTATCTCATTTTTGCCCCCTTTATAATTTTGATGTATTTTGTTATTTTTTAAAAACAAGAAAATCTATGACATACTTAAAATCTACATAATGTAAACAAAATTTTTTTTTATACATGATAAGGAATATTTAAGTCTGTCTTATTGCAAGTCATTTCAACTATTAATGTGTAAGCCTTTACCCTGAGCCTCTCTCCACTTGTGTTGGCCAGGGACTGCCTCTCAGAACCAGCCAGATCTACCAGGTTTATTTTACTGTTGACACAATGGTCGTGTGCTTGACCTTCGGTAGTGTCAATCTATGGGGTCAAAGAGCATTTTTTTAAAAGGGTTCATTAGAAAGTATTAAAAAAAACAACAACAAAGAAAAAACACAGTAATTACATAACATAAAAGACTAAGGATTTGTATAACAAAAAATTTTAAAGGCCGGTCACTATAGTGACGGCAGCAGTTAATTTGCCCACTGCAGTAAGCTATAAAACTGGATTCACATGGGACTATTGTTGAAGAGCCTCCGCATACCTTTGTCTGGCTGAGCACTATGGTGAACACAGAGTGGGACCTACTGCTCTTGTCATTCATCCCAGTGGCTGCCGTGGCTCTGTTCTTGTTCCCCAGAGTGATCCAGCCCTGTATGAGACAGAGTCAGGTAGAGACTAGTGTACATTACTATAGAAAATTATATATTTATTTATTCCAAATTATGGTAACAGTATAAGCCTCTCACATATAAATAAAATTGGCTTTAATGTTAATCACAAACACGCATAACATAACAAACAACATAAATTCTCAATGTAATAAAGGCAATAACGCTACCAGATGGCGCTGATTTCACCAAATAAACATCCTGATAACTGACTCAATATCAGATTCTTAAAAGTACTGCAAGTGAGTTTGGAGCGTAATATTTTCTTTTGCTATTAAGGAAAAAGTCTCAATTTAAATATGGTGTTATTAATCTGCTGTAGTAAAGGGGGTGGGACATCAGAATATTAATATAGTTCAAGGCCATGAAAAAAAAGTATGTTGTTGCAAACCTAAGGGGTGGGGGGAGGGGGGGGAGAGAGAGACAGAGAGAGAAGAAGAGAGAGATATGCAATGCATCCACCATTGTTTGGCAGGCTTTAAGTATTGGTGAAATAAGGGACGATGCCATACCAGGGGTGGGAGGTAACACTAATTGGTAATCTTATAAAGTATGTTACTTGATTGCATGGCATGTTTTGTTAAGTAACTTTAGCCGATGGGAAGTTCACGCATTGTCGCCGCCATTGTTTAGTGAGGGCTATAACTTGTATTAATTATTATTAAGTAAAGAAAAAACAACAACACGTAACATATACTTTTCTTCACGGCCTTTGTAATTGATGTCATTAATTTAGAACATTGTAAATAGACAAATTCACGAGATTCACAGATAAAAAATGTGATATCATCTTTTGCCATGGTAATAAAAAGAAAACCAATTAATGTAGTTGCACGCATTGAGCTGAAAACATCACTGTCAGATGTCCAAGGTTTGTTTACTGCTGGCTATCTAGTCTTACTTAAGTTTTTTTCTGTTCACTTGCGTCATGACTTACCTCAACATCCTCAAAAGAATTGACCACATAGGTGGACAGTCCCTCAACATAAGGACCCAGAACTGGATGTTCTCTCACTTTCAGCTGTTGACATAAAACAAGAACATTTCATTGGTTGAAACAAGAACATTTCATTGGTTGAAACAAGAACATTTCATTGGTTGAAACAAGAACGCTCCATTAGTATAAACAACAAAATCGTAAGGAAATATTCTTTATAATCACAAATTGGGCAACCCAAGAAGTGAACAAAACAAATGAAGTAAAAACACTGAACTGTGTATCACAAGACAACCCTGCTAAGTGCCACAACTCTTGATTACTTACGGTAGCTTTCTTAGCTCCCTTGTCTTTGGTGCTGGCCAGCAGGTCATGAATCTTTTCTTTGTAGATCTCAAAAAAGCTGATTTCGACGTTGACCTTCACCTGATGGAATCAAAGCAAAACAAACAAAAAAATAAATACAATATCACAATAGACATTGTTTCTTGACATAAAGGTTCTGGGCTTGTCTCATCTTGTGACCAGTGTTTCTTTCAGAAATCCCTCCCCCCAAAAGGGGGGGGGGGGGGGGAGAAGAGACAAGCCTCCATTTTCCTAAGATGAAAAGGTTACAGGTGGGAGCAAGATGACAAGGGTACAGGTGGGAGCAATATGAAAAGTTTGCAGGTGGGAGCAAGATGACAAGGGTACAGGTGGGAGAGAGAGAGTACCAGTTGATTTATTGCTGAAAGAAACCCTGCTTGTGACCCCCTTAATAGGGTTACGCCCATGAATCGACAGAACTATCCAAGTAATCAGTATCTCAGTTTCCAGAAACAGAATAATGGCGAATCAGAACTTTTGTAAGCAGAAAATCAAAACGAGATGTTAGATGCAGTAAATTGTATGGAGATGTTAGATGCAGTAAATTGTATGGAGATGTTAGATGCAGTAAATTGTATGGAGATGTCAGATGCAGAAAATTGTACAGAGATATTAGATGCAGTAAATTGTATGGAGATGTTAGATGCAGTAAATTGTATGCAGATGTTAGATGCAGTAAATTGCATAGAGATGTTAGATGCAGTAAATTGTATAGAGATGTTAGATGCAGTAAATTGTATGCAGATGTTAGATGCAGTAAATTGTATAGAGATGTTAGATGCAGTAAATTGTATAGAGATGTTAGATGCAGTAAATTGTATAGAGATGTTAGATGCAGTAAATTGTATAGAGATGTTAGATGCAGTAAATTTTATGGAGATGTCAGATGCAGAAAATTGTACAGAGATATTAGATGCAGAAAATTGTAAGGAGATGTTAGCTGCATAAAATTGTATGGAGATCATAGATGCAGTAAATTGTTTGGAGATGTTATAAAGTTATAAGTGGAAGTTATAGTCTATCACAGGCTTATATTGTAAAGCAGGAGTAATATGACAATTGTCCTTTTGTGCAATTTTCTTTTAAAAAGAGGGGGGGGGGGGG